AAAAGCTGTTATTGTTATAGTTAGCATACACTTTCTCTCATGATACAAATATCAGGAAAGCAAACTCTTCAATTCAGAACATCTCAAATCAGTATTTGGCAGTCCATTCTTTGATGCTTCTGATTACCTTCTTGCTGATAAAATCTTCAGACTATAACGACTTTTATGAATCGTTGACTATCGTTAACGGCCAGCAATACCATTTATTTTCGATTTCACCGAAGTCGATCAAATCCACCATCTTTCCTCTCCGTTTTCAGGCTCGAGATGTCGCGTGTGGGTGATCCGTCCTGCCATAAACTGATTGCTTCACCAATTTCTTCGTTGAACAGCTTAATGATTCAAACATGCACACCATCTATACCATCTACAGCTACCACCAGTCATATACCAGGTGAGAGCAATTTCCTTATTGGATCGATCTTTAAGCGTTAACCCTTATTGGGATAGCTTTATCTCTGTGAAATTAATGATTTTTCTGCAACGTCAAGCCTGCGCAACGTCCATGATTTAACACAATCTCTTGTTTCGTCATCCTACTTTGTTCTGAGACTACGAACACTTAGTATTCTTGTTGAGCAAACGCAAAGTGTTATTTTACTTTTTATTCGCGAACGAGCTTATGTTTCGGCGGATTTCGCCTTCCTCAGTGCCTGGAAAGGTCAAGTTAACGGCAATCTATTCGGCCAAACACCTCCATAACTAAACAGAGAAAACGCTAAACGAAGATTTCAATCACATTGAACACAGAATAGCTTCTTTGTAAACTCATCGCCTTCTAAACCTTCTATGAGTCTTCCACTGAATATATCGCGTGGAGACCAACCGCACAGAATTCACATGGAATCGTAATGTGCACCTGCCATCAGAATTACAGGCTTATTTACTATATTGGTTCATTCTTTCCTCTTACCCCTCTCACACGAAAAAAGCGTTTGTAGGAAACATGTTTCGAACACCAACCAACGTGCGCACAGGAAGAGTGTAGAGGGAGGAGTCCCGGAACTGGGAACAGCAAATAGCCATTTCTAATGGCTACGAAACTGTAGCTCGAGATACGTGTAGAGGAAATCCTAGCCTCCAAACGACAACTCTAGCGATGAAAAGGTCCCGCTTATTCTACCCTTCATCTCGAATGAAGTAAGTGCAGCTGTAAAACGCTGCTTAAGAAGGGCGGGTCTAGAGAATTCGGTAAACGTAGTTCAAATGCCACTGAGTGCTCTTAGGCACCAGCTAGCTCGTAACCGCCTATATGACCGTCTATGTGCAACGCAAAATTGCATAATTTGTCCTAATAGTAGAGACGGTGATTGTATGAGCTTGGGTACAGTTTATTTGATCTCCTGTAATGCGTGCGGAGACGAATACATTGGCGAAATGGGTAGAACACTCTGTGTCCGCATAAAAGAACAACTAGTCGGCAAGTGTAAACTAAATATCCAACTAGCCACGCATAGGAGAGACGTAACGGGGAGGACTTTGAAGTGCGGGTTACGATCCTCGCACAGGAATCGAGAACACAAGCGCGCAAAACTCTCGAGGCGTTCTGGATTAATTCCAGAAATCCGAAAATGAACTGCAGGAAGTAATGCCTCATTATCACGCGTGATATTGGGCAGTATACAAGAATGTTATTCTAATGTGAGGGGCACATTACGCTTCCATGTGAATTCTGTGCGGTTGGTCTCCACGTGACATATTTGGTGGAAGACTCATAGAAAGCGGTGAGTGTTCAAAGAAGCTCTGTGTTCAGTGTGATTGAAATCTTGGTTTAATGTTTTCTCTGTTGGGTTATGGAGGTGTTTGGCCGAATAGATTGCTGTTAACTTGATCTTTCCAGGCTCTGATGAAGACGAAATCCGCCGAAACGTCAGCTTGTTCGTGAGTAAAGAGTAAAATATCATGTCGCGTTTGCTCAACAAGAATGCGATGAATTATTTGATCAATGCCGAGGTTAATACAAAGTCGGTCATGGGATTTACTTCGAACACTGCACTCGATTACCTAATCGGAAGTATATCGAGAGAAATATTCAAAGTCGTATCATTTCATGATCGGCGATTCGCCATTCAGCGCATCTCATAAGTTCACTTAACTGTTGTTGATAATTATGCCAATCTTTTCCAACTTTTCTTACATCAGACCGTTTCATTCTTATTTGCTGTCATTATCGTACGGTAGTCAGAAATCTTGATTCTTGGATGATACAAAGATTTCCCTTCTAATCACATCAACGATGTGGTCTCCTACGAACAAATTCGGAGTTCAAAACATAGGCAACGTAAAGTAAAAATAGTGATTATGTAAAGGACATTTAGTAGCCGATCTAACATCGTCAATAGCGTGTTCTCTGCTTACATGCTCCATTCCGACGGCTGCCATGATATCACCACCACCACCATATCATTCCGTCAACCATCACAACATTCAACGACATCTTTTTGACATGCATAACTCGACTACGGTAGGTTTCTGATGCACAGATTCTTTAGAGAGAACGATTTCGAGGTGGTAAACTTCCGGTGATATCTCAAGTTCACCAACATCTGAAACATCTGGAACCATATGCACACATTGAAGCGTTAGTGAGGAACAAATAGTTTTCTTTATAAACAACCGTAATAATGCATTAATGAGGAAGAATGCGAAAGATATGGGTCAACAGAACAGGTTCCATCGAGCAGAACAGATATCCTAGTAGTATTCGGTTCCTTAAGAAGCTAAAGATTTTGAGAAAGAAAGAAAGAAAGAATATTTGCCAGATCAATTCACTTTCGTGGCCAGTCGAAGTCTACTGGCAATAATAAATAACGAAATGAAATCGAAAACTTAAGTCTTCAGTTTTGCTAATACAGACGAGCACAGAAATATTGAAGAGAACTTTTTTGAAAGCTTAACCAATACTGAACAGGTATTGCTGAGAATCGCAGATTTTTCAAGATCTATGGAAGGCGTTGCTATGAGCTTCTAAGAAAATGCGAGTGATTCTTTCTATTTGATGATTATAGATTGGCGAATTTGACGTGGACGTTATGGGCTTATCCCAATCAACGAAGGATGTTTCCATATGTGATAACGATGTTGGGAGTGATCAAGGAGATAAGGTTAATTCGACCATTTCATATCGGCCTATTGTTCATGCAAATCTCACCAGCACATATTATTTTTCCTATAAAGAAGATAACTAATCCATAAGAAACAAAGATTCAACGTTTTATTCATCTTCGCAACTATGTTTTCTCTATGCGCACAGGAGGCAGGGATCGACCCGTCGGCAGAAATGTATACGAGTGCGTTCGACGCTTCAAACTCTTCCTTAATTTTATAATAGTTTGTTGGTACATTAAAAACTGACTTTCATTAAGCCTCAGTAATAATGAACAGTAATTTTCTACATGGTTGAGCTAACACGAGGTTGGTATAAAACTTTACTTAGCTAATGTTATGGCGTTTTCGCCTTCATCAGAGCCGCGTTGGTCCCAGTCGAAGGTTCACTGCTGGTCGTTATTCTAGATAAAGCATGAGGGATGAAGCTCTCGGCGTTGATCAATCCCTGCTATCTGGCCCACACAGTGACTCGCGGAGACTGATCGATGTGTCGAACCAGTACTGCTATCCTCCCAGACAGGCATGGCACCAATTTGCCATGGAAGGCTTGGTGAGCATGTGGCGCGGGATCAATTTCATACATGTTTTAAGGCGTATCTAACCACTGCGCTAAACAAGCCTCTCAGCTCAGTCGTATAGAAAGCTATTCGGCTTACAGATAATTTATCGATAGACTTATTTGCAGGTTAATAGTCCATTTAAAAAGTGTACTACTCGACGAAAACTGTTATCAGTTCGCTACTTTTCTGATTGAAGCAGTCGAGTAAAAGTACCTTGTTGCGTTTTTCTGAAGAGAATGAAATCCAACTTCAATGATGCTGAGATATTTGCAAAACTCCAGACCGCAGGTGTCTGCGGTGGGGAACGAACGCGCTACTGTCCTTTCCGGGGAGTAAAGCGTTCACCACCACACCATGCAGGTTCTTTGTTTCGTCTTTCTCCCAGCTAGTTCTATCGAGTTCAGCCTATCTTAGCATCATTGAAATTATATTTTGCAGGATACCCTGCCATGATACCAAAAAAAGAGTAGGCAGTGAATAAAAACGACTAAGGGAATGAAATCCTTTGGTGATTGAGCACTTTGTCGTTTGCACGTCTCAGATACTCTTAAGTTCCTCACAACGCGATGAAGTGTTTATCAATCCACTAAGCATGCGGCATTCCATGTGTTATACACCAATTATGTGTTATACACCTATTATGCACCATAGAGGTGATAAATGCGTATTTGATTTATACGATGTCTTATAGAGGCCTAACGGCTTATCAAGTCAGTGTTTTTCTCTAAGACAAGTCTGGTATCAATTTTCAACCTCAGAAAGATAGAGCTTAGCTATTGCAGGTACAGGACGAACCAAGGATCACCTGTGTATTTCTGGGCGCTTTTAATCCCTACTCCACGTTCGCCTAGCGTTTCTTAAATTGATATAAAATAGAAGTATGCCGAAATAGAAACGTGTATCTTTTTAATATGTCTTAAGACACGTTGGGCGCGTGTGGCGCAGTGGTCGGAGGAGCCCTGCAACACACGCGTGGAATTTCTTCCCACGCCCATGGCCCGCCAAACCCTACATCCCTCTGGAGTCTGCAAATTGGTACCAGACATGTATGGGAGGATAGCGGCACTGGGCCGATACATCGGTAGGCCACCGCGAGTTATTGTAAAGGCCAAATATGCATTCAGTCACCTCCAAACGATGCTGAATGAAGTTGAATTCATGGCGCATCCCTCAGAGATTGATAAACGCCGAGAGCTTTTAAAGCTTTTAAAATCCGTTGGAGAATCGTGTCGCTGACATACAGTTAGCTTCATAGCATGCTATAAATTATCTTCAGTCTTATTCCTTATGACTTACTTTGAATCGTCACTGTTTTAGCCACTCGATTTGTCTCTGAAAAACTGCACAGCGCTGTATTCTCCGACTACATCTCGACCAAGTGTGATTATCGAGAGTCCTTCAGGTTATTCCATTGTTTTTTATGAGTGTAGTTATCTGACAAGCAATTTATTCATGGAACCATCGTTTTGAATCTATTTTTCTTCATATTTTTTCTTCTACGAAATACATTCTATATTCACTAGTCATCATTAACTTTTCTTCAGGGCGAAATCCATCTGTTAGACGAAGTGCATCTTCTGTTTCATCGTCGAGAGAACACGACGTCCATGAGCATTTTCGACGATCTTTAAGTGGAAAGTGGCCAAGACGATCGAAAATCGACGACGAAAAGGCTGGTTTTGATTTGAGTTGGGAGTTCTTCTAATATTGTACACTAGCAGCTTTTGAAAAAAGTGAGTCCAAATACACAAACTCTGGGTTTGTTTCCTTTCTAACAAATTTGCCGTCTACTTTAGTACTCGAGTGATTCGAGCTGAAAGTCAAATCTCCATTCGTAGCCTTGCCCTTATGGAGTTTCCCACTGAGTTCTTTACTCGCTGATTGAGCTAACCATGTGTACTATCGTCCTCTTGTGCGCTCATTATCAACTAGTATTCGATTGAAGATGATCACTGACGATTGTCGTTGAAAGTCATAATCCATATCTGTCCTGGTTAATTCTGAGTTCATCCCAATAAATATTTCGGCTTTGCAACGCTGATTTTCTATCATTCGAATTAGTTCGAAATACTTTATTTTCATCCTCACCTTCGTGATAAGCGAGAGACTCTCTAGACGAGACGAGCCACAGACCTATCATTCCTATCAATGTCCTATCTATAGAGCACTTTCATCCTGTTTACGGATCATCCAGTATTCGCGAAACAGATGTGATAATGAGACGAGGAGAAGGACAACAGATTCAAAGATATCACGATTTGGAAACATGAATTCGATGGTATTCTTACAGAATAACGTATTCCTTCCCTTATAGTAGACTGTCTAATATTCAGTTTTCAAACTAGCCGTCATTTAACCTCTGTAGCAAAATAATCAACATGTGTTTAAAATTGTTGAGCTGCAACACACACATTGGATCAAAGTTAACAGCACTGGTTCGATGCATCGGTAGGCCACAGCGAACCATTGAGGCCAGGATATGCATTCAATCACGTCCAACGATGCTTAATGAAGGCGAGTGCATGGAGCATTCCTCAGGGATTGATCAAAGCCGAGGGCTTTGTTTTATTTTATGCTTTTATTAATTTCGTAGAAGCTCAAAAATTCTAAACGCACGTCTAGTATTCAGTTTTTGATACATCAATAAATGTTGCTCTTTTCCAGACGCGAGCCTCACCCATTACTCGAAGAACTTCCTTCAATACCCATGGTTCTACATGCACTCAACAACCACACGTGATCGTCAGCAATAGTGGTGTCGACAGTTGGTTAAATACTTGTTCTTTTACATTATAACAAACCTAAACATATTTTTCAACTTTCTAAACGAAGATGCTTAGATACGAATGCGAACAAAGCAGAGTAAAGGGATCGTGATCGTAACGTACCTCAATTATATTGAACTTTTTGTGAATGTGCTACCTCTACGCCAAAATTCTGTTCGAATACGGTAGTCTTGTGCAATTACAGAGTTCGATCTATGTCTCACGTCACATTTATTGTTAGCGTCTACGTCCAATGTGCGATTCTTATTTTAACGAATTCCTTCATGAATGGGCGATTTAACGTCATCGATAACTTTCACAGAGAGTGCCGATGGTAAAACGAATTTTCACTGAATAGAATGGGCATTCGAAGATGAAGAAAAACGAAAACTACAAGGAACCTTTCATGTTGTCGACATTTCTTCTTTGTTGATTAACTTTTAGGGAATCTAGCAGCGGAACATAACTCATCAATTTCAGTAGTCGATCATTTCCGACGTGCTCTCTCCGAGAAAGAATTCGATAACTGGCAACGAAAGAGAAACGCAATACAGCAGACGTCAAAATTGTCGTCACAGTGATTTTTTTCCTTCTTCGGATATCAAATAACATCTCCGACCAGAATTTTATCTATCCAATAAATTGTTACAAAGTGGTTTATACGTGCATACAGTGAATATTTTCACAAGTCTATCAGTCAAGGAAGCCATAGAGAACGACGTAATCACCGATAAAATCAGTATATAGCGATATCTTAGAGCTATGGAATAACAGTTTGAGTGATTTTTATTTTTGCCTGAAATTCTTAATAGAAAATATGGTTCTCTCGAATTCCTAGGATTTCCCGTTTCACCGAGACAATATATTGACCTTCGCATCACACACAATGGTACCAGAGTTTCCAGCTATTTGTTCCAGCCTTTGTATAAAAACAGGATATACGTCAATGTTCTTAGCATAGTACATTTTTGCAAAGTCATCAAAGAAACGTTTCAATGGCTGAGAAATCTGCTTAGTGAAACTGCTTGCCATCGAACGGAGGTCTTACATGTCAGTACTATAGCATCAGTATTTTTCTTGGTTCGAAGTTAAATTGAAAAGTATAAGTACGATGATCTATCTAAATAACATGATCTATCAAAATGAAATGATCTAAATGACATGAAACTATATCATCAACGTCAGTATTCTGAGAGTATGGTATGCTTACGCAGCTTGGAAAAGGGTTACCGTCTCCAAAGACATCTCTTCATCGAAACAACTATAAACTTACTTGATACTTTTAAAAAGTTGTAAGGCAAAAAATCACCGGCGACAGTTTTTTCTATAACAGATAAAAAAGATAAATAAAGTGGAACACGAAGTTTGTTGAAAATTTAATGATAGGCTGAAGGTCAATTAACGTTTTGGGGTCTAACAATCGATCGCAGATCGTTCCCTTATTATGATTGACGTTATGGGGAATTGATCCGGTGACCGCTTCCCTATCCTGATCGGAACTATGTTAACCAGAAATAAATGCAGATTGTATTTAGATCAGAGTTTTACTTCTTTTTCTTATCACTTAAAGAGCGTACGGTGCAGCGTTGACATCAATAGTTTAGTGATGGGTAAGAAATCTTTAAAGGTAATGAGTATCAACATCAGCAATGAGTCACTTTCAATAATGCAGATCAGTGAAGGACGATATTTGAGTCCAAATCCGAGCGATATGGCTATAAACTTCACAATGAAGCGAATGCGAAACACAATAGAAGCTTTCGAACACTTCGAATGTGCTGATAAACCAATAAAGAAAGAAAGCTAGACCGCTGTGACCCATGTGAAGTTAGCCAAAACTTAAAGGTTATCGTTAAGAACCTTCTGCGTGCTAGTGCTAAAAAAGCTTCTATTTTTTGGTCCCGTTGTGGTAAGACTACTAAAAATCAGTTCTTACGACGATCGACGACTTTCAGCAACGGATGATTAGGCAGTGGTGATGTAAGGAATTTTGTCGAAGTCAAATTTTCATTAGCACTGGATTATGATGACTGCCGTGCTTGACTGATAAGGATAAAAAGATGGAAAATAAAGCTGTATACATAATATTGTATATTGACAAAATTCTCCGAGAAAAAACACCATGCATTTGACTTCATCAAGATGATGATTGATTGCATATCTGTCTCAAGCCAATGCCTAGCGGTCGCCAGCCCATGCATTCCATGTATCAGTTCAGTGATGTTATTCTCCCAGACAAGTTTGGTGTTAATCTTCTAACCTCAGAGTGATGGAGAGGTAGATGAGCCTAAAGTGTGAAATCGAACAGTTCATCATTTATGTATCACAGAGCATCTCTAACCACGGCGTTACAAGTGTCGGTAGTTTGCCAGAGAGAAGAATGAAATATTTTGGCAAAGCATACAGTTTTAAATCGATGAAACCCATCTGCCACAAAAAGACCGTATAGACTTTTAAAATTTATTTTGCACGACTCATATCCACAGCTACTGCACGAATCCAAGCACTTCTTGCACTTGGCTTGTTTCCGCAGATCCACCGTCCAGGAAGCCCCTCTAACAGGTTTGGCTGCTGCTAGAGGAATGCCGTTTTCTTTATAAGTGTTGTTGAATGCTGGTCGTGCCGATTTTCCTTGGAGTTTAGACAAAACCATGTTGGGGCGCTCCGTGGATTGCAGGGAGTGAATTGTTCGCGTACAAGTCTACAACCAATTTCACGACAGTAGAGATAAGAGAGCTTAGTGAGGTCTGAGCACTTCACACGAGGAATACTCCAGAAATTTGGTTTACTAAATAAAACTGTAAGAAGAACATTTAAAGAAAAACGATCCTTACAAATTCGGCGGACTCCTCATCAACAGACTACTCATCTTTAAACATTTGTGTAGCAATGCTGTTGCAGCAAAAAAGCCCACATAGTAAGAGTTTGCGAAAAATACATCAGTAAGTATCGAAATTTCTGAAAGCGTCGAAATCAACTCTTTGCTGAAGTGTGTAAATGTAACCGCTGCAGAGATGTAAATTATGAAGTGCCTTCTTTTCTCGCCTTTCTTTTTCGTAAAAGAAAACCAGTTAGTAAGATAATCAGCATAGGTTAGAATGGCAGGAAGAGATCTTACGAATAATTCCGTTCATGTACATTCATTTGCAAGTAAGGAGAGCTGGTCCAGTAAAGCCTTAAGAAAACCAGCATGACTTAGGCTAGCCTATTTATCCTTGAATGAATCATAATATTAGGATGTAACATTAAATGTGCGTTTTTATTGTTTTAATATCTCGTGTAATTTTTTTCAAACAAAAATTTTGTCCTTTATCTATGTTTGACGTATATTTTTAAAGCGCAGTATTTCTCTTTTTACATCTAGTATTCGCCTTTTTCAAGATTTAACATTTGAACATTTTTATATGCTTTAGCCTTAGTATGAATCGACGTGATATTCGTGTCCTTTTTTGTACGAGTGGAAGAGTGGACACAATGCCGCGGCAGGAGCTTGGAATATCACTAAACTTGGGGTGAAGGCAGTGTTGGTGAATGAACAATGCGAACATGGCTCCAGAATATCAGATCTAGTGATTTCGACATTGAATTAAGGTCGCGGACACCTCAATGAACTTGACGACGACGAATTGAAGGTACTAGGGAAAGCAAGCATGTGAACAACTGTTCGAAGGCTTGCAAAACAGCTTGTCTTATGCACATGAGCAATTTCCACTCGCTTGAATCATATAGGAAAGACAAAAAGACTCGACGAGTGGATGCCGCACGATTTAAACGATAATCTAAAAGATCACCGTTTTGAATTGTCGTCTGCTTTTATTCTGCACGATATAAACGACCATTTCCTCGATCGTATTGTGACGTGCGACGAGTAGTGGATTCTGTACGACAACAGACGACGGTTGGATTGCGGCTGCCAACAATCCGACGAAATTCACTGTGAACTCTAACAACAATGACCAGCATTAGTCAGTAGAAAAAGCCCTATCCTTCTCTACGACAACACCCGGCCTCACGTTGCGGAACCAGCACTGCAAAAGTTGAACGAGTTGGACTACGAAAATTTGCCTCATGCACCATATTCAACAGACGTCTCGGTTACCGGCTGTCACCAAGAGCACTGACGACTTCCCGGGCGAGCAATGCCTCACCAACCACGATGATGGAAAAAATCTCTTCAACGAATTCATTGCTTCCAGGACTCCAGAATTTTATGCAAATGGAAGAAATCAAGTTTACTCTTGTTGGAAAAATATACTGATTCTAATCGTCTTGTTGCGAGCAGTAAAAACCAGTATGAAAAAAGTTATGGTTATTTAAAGCTTACATTTAAAATCAGACATTTCATAAGTTACGATCTAATAATTCCTGAATAACTTAAAAACTGGTTTACATTAAACCTTGGTAAAAGTAATTGAAGGGCGCGTATGACGCAGTGGTTGGAGGCGCACTGCGACACACACGTGGAATCGATCACCGTGCTCATGATACATCGGTAGGCCACCGCGAGTCAGTGTAGAGGACATATATGCACTCATTAACCTCCGACGATACTTAATGAAGTCGAATGCCTAACTCATCCCTCAGGGAATGATCAACACCGGCAGCTTTATCCTTTTATCCTTTAACAGCAAACGAAAATTTTTTACGTGATTCACCTGACACAAAGTTGATATGAAAAACTTTTATCCGTCCCCTGTTTCGGTCGACTTCGGTTTCTTCAGAGCTGTGTTCACCCGAGTCGGTTGTTTCAACCTGCTCGTCCTCCAGTTATGGGTTTTCGTTGTCGCATAGAGTCGAATCCAATAGATGGAGCAGCAGGCGCTGAAAAGTTAGTCGAATAAATATTTCGTATTTCAATTACATGTTAGCTCAGACTTCTTTATTACGTATTTAAGAGCTTTAATCAACAACTGTAAATATGATTAAAGTGTCATAGAGCATCACAATAAGAAATATAGCAATAACTCATGCTCAGTTCTACTTTTTCCTCTGCTTTTTCATCATCTAACAACACATTTAGAGGTAGAAGCA